GTAAGGAGGTACCTGGTTGTTAATTGATTGGCGGATCACTTTTCCGAGGGGTAATAATCCATCCCCAAAAAAGTATATAAAAAACAATAATTTGGTCAATCAATCAAAGACTGCTTGTGGGACACTGCTGTGTGCAACTGGCTGCCGCATTTCGCCCACAAATATGCAGTCGATTTACTTTACAGTATATTCTGTGTAGCGCTTTGAGATGTTTTGAAGATGTGATAAAGCGCTATATCAAATGCAAGGTTTACTTATTATTCTTACTATCTAGCTCTCTCTTCCCATATCATGGATTTTTCACTCCAGAAGAGCAGTTGTTCAATGTCTTGAAAGAAGATAGTAATACTAGGCTTGTTACTGAATTTGTTGAAACTGACGGGAAACATCTAATCAAAATCCACCAGGAAAAGAAAGTTTGTTTAACATGAACAGAAAATGAGTCACGACACATATGGTGTGGGGAACCGCAAATCTAAACAGTTGAATCCCTTCCAATATTTTATACAGCGGATTATGGAGTACTTGCAGCTTTAGTGGAATCTGTGCCAACCAATTCATTTACTTTAAATCCTAGACCGGAAATAAGATCATCCTTGGCAACGAGTTACGATGAGGGCAATTTTCCATTATTTTGTGGTGTGTGTACAAAAAATACAAGCAGCATCGGGTCCATCTTCTCTAATAATAACAATAATAAGTCTGGCATTTGATATAGCCCTGTATCACGCCTTCCAGAAGTCTCAAAATGATTCACAGAATATGTTGTAAGGTGAATTGACTGTATATTTGTGGGTGAAACGCGGCAGCCAATTCCGCATAGCAGCGTCCCACGGTCGTGGATTGAGGGACTTAAATATTATTTTTTTTAAAATTTGTTTTGAAGGGATTATTACCCCCAGAAGAGCAATTGACTAACAACCAGATTCCTACTCACTGCTAGGTAAACAGAGCCGTGTGGAGTAAGGAAACCTGCCCAATGTTTCGCCCTTCCCGGGATTCGAAACCAGGTCCTCTCGTTTGTGAGGCGAGCGCTACTACCAATGCTCTACAGGACTCCACAAGCACAAGATGAGGGAGTTTGTGTTTTCTAAATACTGAGAGTTGAACAAATCTTATCAGGGGATTGCGCAGCCTGTCAATTTGGCTTAGTGAACGGCATGTTTGCCTTTTGGTCAGAAGGATATGGGTTCAAGCCTCAGGACTTGAGCTCACAGTCCAGACTGACCACTCGGCATAGGCCAGAATAAGGTCAGCTTTGCATTGCTGCAAGTGCCGTCATTCAGATGAGATTGGAATCGAAGTCCACATCCGCTTGTTTTCCCAAGTGTACACAATAGAAAGAGTGACTCCACTCGAAAAGAAAAGTTTATTTTTGTGCCCTGAGCAAAAAAACCCCCCGATAGATTGATCACTTCAAGGATGTTTGTGGTTCATTTGCAGTGTGCAAATTGGCTGCCACGTTCGCTTACAAATACATAATAATAGTAATAATAATAATCCCTGCATTTGATATAGCTCTTTATCACATTTTCGAGACTTCTCAATGCACGTCAGAGAATACACTGTAAAGTGAGTTGACTGTATATTTTGTGGGCGAAACGCGGCAGCCAATTGTGCACAGTGGTGTCCCACAAACAGTCGTGGGTTAAGTGACCAAATTATTTTTTTTTAAGGGATTATTACCCCCAGAAAGCGATCTGCCAATCGACTATCAACCGGGTTCCGACTTACTGCTCGGTAAACAGAGGCATGTGGAGTAAGGAAACTTGCCTAATGTTTCACCCTGTCCGGGAATCGAACCCTCTCACTTGCGAGACGAGTGGTCTAACCAATACGCAACAGGGTTCCACGTATACATAGTCACTCCACGTTACAGTAAAATGCTTTGATGCACTTTGAGATGTCTCGACGCGATAAAGCACTCAGTCAAATGCAAGGATTATGACGATTATTTATTAGTTTGTGGAGCACCACGAGGATAGCTGCTGTGGTTGTTTCTAAACAAAAACAGTCAAGTAATTATCTGTGCAATGCTTTAAGATGATATAACATGGTAAGGTACTATCAGGAGTTAAGAAATTAGCAAAAACACAAGTGTCTCTATTAGGGATGGTTTCAAAATTGATGATAATTTCGCTCCCAGTTTTTCTCCCAAACTCTCTCCCAATTCCCCTACCCCCATAATCCCATCATGAGGAAGGAAACTTGAACAAGCCTAAGGCTTAAGGTTTTGCTCTGCCCAGGAATCAAACCCAGGTCCTCTTGCTTTGTGAGGTTAGTGCTCTACGGGACTCGACAAACTGTAGGCAAACAGATTTGATTAGCACATGCAATCTGTTATCAAGTCCTAAAGTCCCTGCAATACAAATACAATCTAAACTGGATGGTGACGAGGCTTGAGTAGTCAGTAAAGAAGGGGGTTATAATTCCTCAGGAGAGGAAATCAGGGTCATTGCTACGCCCTTGTTTTTATTTATTTTCATGTGGGAACACGACTGATACCATGAGGATGACATTTTTTTTTAAAAAAAAGCTAATGCTCTGGTAAAGAGCCAGATCTGATAGAGAGGTCTAAATAAATTCCGCAGCAAATGACAGTCTTTAACGCATGAAAGTGTCTGGTATTCCGTAAAGCAGAGACAAGTTCCCTAATTTGTTTGCTTCTATTCCTGGATAATGGATTTCAGAATCAGGTTCTTATCTGGGCAGTAATAATAATAATAATCCTTGGATTTGATATAGAGCCTTTTCACGTCTTTCAGACGTCATAAAGTGCTTCACAGAATATCCTGTAAAGTGAATTGACTGTATATTTTGTGGGCAAAACGCAGCAACCAATTACACACGGCAATGTCCCACAAACATCCGTGGATTGAGTCACCCAATTTTTTTTTGAGGGAGTATTACCCACAGAAAGCGATGCATCAATCAACTAACCTAATTACTGCGAGGTAATCAGAGGCGTGGGGAGTAAGGAATTGGTAAGCAGGAAGAGGCCATCCAGGGAGAACGGGTTTCTCATTGCAGACACTGGGAAATTCCACATATTGGTGGCATACTCAGTCTTACTCGTTTTGGATGCTCTTAAGCATAGTGATAGGTTTCTTCTGTGCTAGATTTCTCTCAGTTCACCGAAAAAAAAACCCAGCATCTCTACCTCTTTCTAACCTTATCTCTCGCTCTCTGAAGCAGTAGTCAGCTGGAGCAAAGAGGCTAATTGTGATGACCTGGCCGAGATCTGAACTGAAGTGGGATTGGAACTTGCAACCCTCGGGGTCTGCAGGGTTTAGCACCTACTGCCCAGGAAATGGGGAGAGGGAAGGGCCATGTTTCAATGTTAGGAACGTAGGAACAGGAGTAGGCCATTCAGCCCCTCGAGCCTGATCCGCCATTCTATATGACCACGGCTGATCTATACGTCAACTCCAATTACCCGCCTTTGCCCCATATCCCTTGCTACCCTGACCTAACAAAAGTCTACCCACCTCAGAAAATTTGAATGGATCCTTTTTGGGGGAGAGAGTTCCAGATTTCCACCAGCCTTTGCCTGAAAAACTGCCTCTTGATTTCACTCCTAAATGGCCTAGCTCCAATTTTAAGACGATGCCCCCTTGTTCTGGATTTCCCCACCACCAGATGAAGTAGTTTCTCCATAGCCGCCCGATCGAATCCATTAATGTCCTATTTGAGAAACATCTGAAAACATTTTAAACATCCCGTTCAACCTTTTGTTTCTTGTTTGCTTTAGCTTGAGACACACGGCACCAGTTAGTTATTTTGTTTGGGGGGTTTGGCAGCAAGAATTTAGACTCTGCACCTTTGGCTGAATTTCAACCAAAGTAACGAATTGCTCCCATGTGTATCACAATATTCGAGAGGTGAATTACTGTCAGACTTGACAGCATCTAGTCTTCATTTCATTGGTGGTCACAGCGATCGGTAAAACTTGAACCATCCAATTTTGAACCATCAAACATCAGAAATATCTTCTTGTAATAAGGGAGCAATTTTCCTGACATGAACGAGGTCACCTCTATACTTATAATGCTTGCATTTGATACTGCTTCTTACCCCGTCGTTGAGACGTCTCAAAGCGCTTCACAGAATATACTGTAACGGGAATTGGCTGTGTATTTTGTGGGCGAAACGCGGCAACCAATTGCGCACAGCAGTGTCCAACAAACGGTCGTGGATCAAGTGACCAAATTATTATTTTATTTATTTGGAAGGAATTATCACCTCTGGAAATCGACCCGCCAATCGACTAACAATCGGGTTCCTACTCACTGCTAGGTAAACAGAGGCGTGTCGAGTAAGGGAACTTGTCCAACGTTTCGCCCTGCCCGGGAATCGAACCCAGGTCCTCTCGCTTGCGAGGCGAGTGCTGCAACCACTGAGCTACAGGGTCTCCCAACAAGCAGGGAATTAACATCGTAAACATCATGGCAGGACACGGGTTTACTGTCATTGTTTTCCGCACGCTAAGATCCTAATGTTAATTATTCAGACTGAGGTCGCAGAGTTAAATGATAATCCTTTCATTTGATATTGCACCTCATCATGTGGGTGAGACTCTCAAAGCACTTCACAGAATATACTGTGAACTGAATTGACTGCATATTTTTGTGATCGAAACATGGCAGCCAATTGCGCCCAAGGGTGTCCCACAAACAGTCGTGGATTGAGTGACCACATTTTTTTGGGGGGAGGGTGAGGTGGAAGCAAATTATTACCTCAGGAACGCGATCCACCAAGCGACTAACAACTGGGTTCCATCTTATTGCTTGGCAAACAGAGGTGTGCGGGTGGAGTAAGGAAATTTGCTCTAAGGTTTCGCCCTGGAATCCAACCCGGAGTTCCTCTCACTTGCGAAACGAGTGGTCTAACCAATACGCTAGAGGTCTCCACGAGTTCCTTGGAGTACCTCAATTACACGCCAGTCGTGGGCGTAGATTTGCCACGTTTGCTAATGTGACCGTTGTTTCCCTGTGTTGCAGAGTGTGTGTCACATACTGCGCTGGAAATCATGGCCAGGAATTGTTACGGTAAACGGAGCTGCAGAGTGAATGTCAGCAGCCGCTACTTTGGAGATCCCTGTTTCCCTGGGATGGAGAAATATCTCAGCATTGTCTACGTGTGTGGTAAGGGTAAATCTTTTCAGTGTTAAAGCAAACAGCGAATCACATTTGCGCAGCCCCTTTAACACGTCCCAAGACAAAACGTTCTATATAAGTGCAATTTGTTTCGTGTTGTAATAAAATTCAGATCAACCTGACGGTGAGGACAGTCGTTTACCGTACGAAAACGATCGAAACGCAGCACATTTTTGTCACGATTCTTTCAGTTGTGGAGCCGTTCAAGTGCTTTCTAGCAATCCTTACATTTTGGATTATGGCGACTTATCTTGTCATCGAGTCGTCTCAAAGCGCATCGCAGGATAATACTGTAAAAAGGTGCGACTGTGCACGCTTTGTGGGAAAACGCAGTAGCCACATGGTGTGCACCGATGTCTCACAGACAGTCATGGAGTGACCAAGTGAGTGACTGAGTGAGTGAGTGACCGAGTGAGTGAGTGAGTGACCGAGTAAGCGGGTGGCCGAGTGAGCGAGCGAGTGACCGAGTGGGTGAGTGACTGAGTGAGCAACCAATTCCATTTGAAGTCTCGTTAAAAATAAGGGGATCGAGCTTCTGCTTGGTGGTGCACATAATGGGCAAATCAGAAGGTACCAGTGTCCCTTTACCTGTGGAACCAATAAAGGGCGAGGCATTCATCATACCCGTCAACACCAGAAACCTTACTATAATGACTTATTTGGAATGCGTCCAGAACAAAGTAGGTCATCCATCATTGTGTGCACTGTTTTCCACAACGTAGAGTTACAGTTAACGCCATCTCAGGTGTAATACTGGCCTCAACGCACATGAGGTGATCCAAATTCAGTAACTTAACCCCAAGGCTACATTTAGTGTGTGGTTCAGGTGACGCAGGTAAAGCGTTAGACCTCAGATTTCACGTTACCAAAATGCAGGTTGCCAATTCAGTTCATTTCTGGCAAGCTTCCCACTGCTTCTCCAAGCTTGACAGCACGCTAGCCTTTAGGGCTTTGGCTTGTGGGGTTAACAGTGGGAATAATCCAGTGGCTGGTTTGCCCCTCAAAGTAGTGCCGGTGAGCTCGGCTGGCTTGTCTTGTCATCAACAGTTGGCAATTCATATGTATGCCCATGTGCCCCTCCCCTCTGAAATTTTCTTCCGAGACTCTCTTCTTCCAAACCATCAGCCGCCTGCTCCTTGTGATAATTGTTAATTGCTCTGAGAGGTTGGTCGTACCGTGAAAGTTGAGACAAGCGCAAGTTATATTTGCGCTTATATTTTGAGTTATATTATAATAATAATCCTTGCATTTGATATAGCGCTTTTCACGTCGGGAGGACGTCCCAAAGCGCTTCACAGAATTTACTGTAAAGTGAATTGACTGTATATTTGTGGGCGAATGCGGCAGCCAATTGCGCACAGCAGTGTCCCACAAACAGTCATGGATTGAAAATGACCAATTTTATTGTTGTTTTGTTTTTGGAGGGATTATTATTAGGTGTGTGGAGTAAGGAAACTTGCCCAAGGTTTCGCCCTCTGCCGGGAATTGAACTCAGGTCTCTCACTTGCAAAGCGAGTGCTCTAACCACTGAGCTACAGGACTCCACCATTGACTGTATATTGCACCCATGAAAATATGCAGTCGATCCACTTCACAGTATATTCTGTGAAGCGCTTTGAGACGTCTCGAAGATGTGATAAGGCGCTGTCTCAAATGCAAGGATTATTATTGTTAAATTGCTTTTTGCCAGTTTTTTCCTCGCTACATATAGCCACGTGAAACAGGAAATCTCAACTTGCAGTTTCTGTTCCACATTGGATTACGAGCTGAACCCCAACCCACACACACACATGCTCACCAACACCCACCCACCCACACACACTAAATTTGCTCAATGTGCAACTGGCTCCTGAATCTTATTTAATTGATTGCGCAATTGGCCGCTGTATTTTGCCGCACAAAATATACAGTCAATTCACTTTACAATATATTCTGTGAAGCGCTTTGACAAGGCGCTTCGACAAGCCTCCTGACCTAAGGCCACGATAAGGCACTATATCAAATGCAAGGAGTATTGCTATTCAAAGCAATTAATTGAAAGCTCCTGGACCGATGACCACTATTCCAACGAACTAACCAAGAACGTCCAACTCAACGAGCAAATCCGTGAATGTGAGTGTGTGGGGTGAGGGGGAGGTTGCAATGACTAGGGAGCAATCTGGAGCAAGAGCCCTAACTCACGCACTCGACCTCCTACATTAGTGAAACCAATTATAGTAGGTCCTCATAATAATCTAATGTATAATAATAATCCTTGTGTTTAATCCTTAATTCCAAGGATTATAATAATACTAATCCTTGTTTATCACATCGTTTGGACGTCTCAAAGCCCTTCACAGAACATATTGTAAAGTGAATTGACTGTATATTTTGTGTGAGAAAAACGACAGCCAATTGCACACAGCAGCGTCCCGCAAACAGTTGTGGATTGAGTGACCGCATATTTTTTTTTACAAGGGAATATTACCTCTGGAAAGCAATCCACCATTCGAGTATCAACCAGGTTTTTACTTACTGCTAGGTAAACAGAGGGGCATGAAGTAAGGAAACTTGCCTAAGCTTTCGCCCTGCCCGGGGAATCGAACCTGGGTCCTCCGCCCCTTGGTTGGAAACAGCTGCGTCAGCATTGCATTCTTAAAATGAATTCGAATTGAGGTGATATAAAAACTGTCCCAGAGCCTCCTGACCTGAGCGGCTCAGCCCCTCACCGGATGAGCTCGTCGAGCCCCGTTTGTTATTGGAGTTCGTTTTGCTTAAAGGTGTTGGCGGATATTGGCCCTCTGGTAACTTTGCCAAAAACATTAGGAAGGTGACCGATTTGTTGACTTGAAAAACAGCAGCATATTTTAACAGGCTCTGTGAGGGACAACAGATAACAATATAGTCCTGGGCTTTGCTGTCTCGCCAATCCTACAGGAAGGAACCCAGCCAAAGGCAGGGTGAGAAACGAGATTCCACTTAAAATACTGCAATATTCTTCTGGGATGTTTGCTTAGACATAGCCATTTAACTCTCGTTCTTTCAAACTGTTAGAGGACGCTGCTAAGTGCACAAACAATTATATTGGTTAGTGTACTTGCTTCGCAAGCGAAAGCATTTGGGTTCGATTCCTTGGCAGGGCGAAATGTTAGGCCTGTTTCCTATACCACATGCCTCTGTTTACCTAGCAGTGAGTAGGAACCCAGTTGTTAGTCGCTTTTCCCTGGGTAATTATCCCATCAAAAAAATAATAATAATAATCTGGTAACTCAATCTACGTTTGTGGGATTGAGTGACCACGTTTCTGGGACTTTCCAGTGTTTGTGGGACACTCCTGTGTGAAATTGGCTACTGCGTTTCATCCACAAAATATACAGTCGATACTTTGTGGTATATTATCTCAAGTGCTTTGAGACCGTTTTGAAGACATGATAAGGCGCTATGTCAAATGCAAGACTTATTATAATTTACTGCTAGGTAAACAGAGGCGTGTAGAGTAAGGAAACTTGCCTAAGGTTCTTCCCTGCCCGGGAATCAAACCCGGGTCCTAGCGCTCTAACCAATAAACTACAAGACCCTGATGAAAATAAAACCTGATGATTTTTATGCCAGCCAAAAGTGAGGCATTCTTCTCGCCCAATTTGGGATTGGCTTGGCGATCAACGTTGACCCGCGGGAGGATGGTTGTGACAAATTGCTACGTTGGAAACAAAACCCACAATGAGACAAAGTGCGTCTGCATTTAATTCAGACACTTGTGGGCTTGTTACATTGAAAGGAATTAAATAATCCTCTTGATCTCACAATCTCCGCTAATGGCAGTTAATGTGGGGAGCGAAACCAATGACTGCATGGTGTTTTACTGTCCCATGCCTCATTTAACATGGCACAAAGGGCAGGCAGGGATTTTTGGAATTCCAGGGCATCAAGGGAGGTCGTCTTGATGGAGGTTTCCAGTGGATACATTCATCTTTTCGTTCTCACTAGCAGGATACAAACGTGCCTAGTCTCAGCGATAATTTAATGCCTCATTTGTACCAAGCTTTCAGTATCAATTCATCTCTCTCTCGCTCTCCAATCACTCTGCCGTTAGCAAGCAAGAGGACCCGGGTTCGATTCCCGGGCAGGGCGAAACCTTAGGCAAGTTTCCTTTACTCCACACGCCTCTGTTTACCCAGCAGTAAGTAGGAACCCAGTTGTTATTCGATTGGAGGATCGCTTTCCGGGGGTAACAATCCCTTCAAGAAATCTATAAATAAAATATAATAATTTGCTCACTCAATCCACGACTGTTTGAGACACTGCTGTGTGTAATTGGCTGCCCCATTTCGCCCACAAAATATACAGTCAATTCCCCCTAGAGTATATTCTGTGAAGCGCTTTGAGACATCTCAACAATGTAATGCAAGGATGATTATTATTATTATTATTGGGGACATGATGTTTTTCCCCCCCAAGACGAGGGATGGGGAAAGAGAAGGTGTAAGGACACCCCCCAGTTCGTTCACAAACACAGTGAAATTGCACAAGCCACTTAGCAAGAAAAAAATTGGGACCAAACAGCATTGATGGTGTGAATAGATGGGGAGCCTATAGCTACAAGAGTTTTTTTTTCTCCCTTGTTTCCTACATACCCCACCACCCCACGGAAGGTTAAGCTTGCAGGTACCCAGCCAGCGTGAGGTGCTTCGAGGTGCTTGTAATAATGATCAAACTTCAAGACGTCTCAAAACGCTAGACAGAATATATCGTAAAGGGTATTGACTGTGTATTTTGTGGGCGAAATGCGGCAGACAATTGAACACAGCAGTGTCTCACAAAGTCGTGGATTGAGTGACAACATTATTATTGTTATTATTTTGGAGAGATTACCAGAGATTAAGGAAACTTGCCTAAAGTTTCTTCCGGCCCAGGAATCGAAACCAGGTCCGCTCGCTTGCGAGGTGAGTGCTCTAACCACTACGCTACAGGACTCCACAATGTATGTATCTATCGAATTCCCTTTTGCTTTAAAATCAAATCTTAGGCAGAACTGAGGTCAGGAAGCATCTTTCAACAAAAGCAACAACAAAATTACATTTGTATAGCGCCTTGCACGTCGGGAGGACATCCCATGGTGCTGGACAGTCAGAGTTTTGGATCCGAGCTGGGTGTCGGAATTGGGGAGGGTGGAGGGCAGGAGGAGAAGCAGGGACATCGAAAGCACGGTCAAAGAGGAGGGTCTTCAGATGGCTCTTGAAGTAGGCAAGGGAGGGGGCAAGGCAGTGGGACCTGAAGCAGGCCAGAGCCCACTAAGTGGAGGGAGCGAGCAGGATGGTAGGTTAGGAGGTCACAGAGGTAGCAAGACCATGGAAGGCTTTGAAGTTGAGGACCAGGATCTTGATCTGTATCCTCTGTGTGATGGGAAGCCAGTGGAGTCGGGCGAGGATTGGTGTGATAGGGTCATGGAGTCTGGTGTGGAGAGGACACGGGATGCAGAATCCTGGATGATCTTCAGCCTATGAGGGAGGAGTTGGGGAGGCCAACAAGCAAGGAGTTTGCATAGTCAAGCCTAATATGAGGGTCTTGGCGGTCTGCGGTGTGAGACAGTGGTGAAGTTGGGAGGTGGGCGAAGGCAGAGTGGGTCATGGCGCAGATGTGGGGTAGAAAGGATAGTTGAGGGTCAAACAAGATGCCAAGGTTCTAGACTGGCTCAGTGAGGTGGAGTGTGCAGCCATGGATGGTGACTCTGTCAGTGCCTGAAGTGTGGAGGCGCTGACGAGAGCCAATCAGGAGGGCCTCAGTCTTGTTGACGTTCAACTGGAGAAAGTTAGCTCTCATCCAGGACTTGATGTCTTACAGACATTCAATCAGGACAGCAGTGGTCCTGGAGTCGAGGGTGGAGGCAGAGAGATAGAGTTGTGTGTCATCCACATACATGTGGAAATTGACCCCATGTCTGTGGATGATGTCACCAAGAGGGAGCATATAGATATTGAAGATCCTATTCATACTGAGGGTTGTGGAACTGTGGAAAGCTTTGCCCCAGAAAGCTGTAGCGGCGAAATGAATAGGGATGTTTGAAATAGAGATAGACAGAGGCTCAGTTAGTTGAAGTGTAATGCGCTGCCTTTTCTAACCCTCTTGCTTTTGACGATTTTCTTTCTTGTTAAAAGCTGCGCATCCCTATAAAACAGTTTCTAGAAAGACTTTATCAAACCGTGTTTGCAAATGCGACAATATTACAAGTCTTAAATTCAACTGTTTGATTTTTCTTCGTTCAGTATCCAAATGCTCTCGGTGATTAAAGGGTTAATCCCGTTCCCCGGCAGGTTACTTTTCATTCCCCCCCCCACATTCGGTCTCGTGCAGCCCGGTCTCGCTGTTGATTTATCTTGGTTAAACAAATGGCTTTACATTCGTTCCAACAGCTAACCGAGGGGGGAAACCTTCCAACTTTGAGCAACGTAATGGGGAAAGGCCTGAGCAATATTGATCTCATCCTAGATCTGGGCTGACCTCATTAAGACTGAAGGTCAGCATTACTAGACCTGAATAACTGGTCTCTGGAGTCCTGTAGTCTATTGGTTAGAGCGCTCGGCTCGCAAGCAGGAACAGGGGGATGAAAAAATTCTGCTTGGATCTGATAAAATGGTGGAACTGGCTCAACGGGATGAAGTCCCCACTCCTGGCCCCATGTCCCTAATGAATCGTGCACAGAAAGACCCTGGTACATGAACCTTACTTGAGTAAACACTCGTGGGGGTGGGGGGGGTGAAAACTTAGGCAACTTTCCTTACTCCACACGCCTCTGTTTACCTAGCAGTAAGTAGCAGCCCGGTTGTTAGACGATTGGCAGATCGCTTTCGGGGGCAGGGGGGGTAATTCTCCCTTAAAAAGAATTTGTTTCTCTCAATCTACGACCGTTTGTGAAACACTACCGTGCGCAATTGACGGCTGAGTTTCGCCTACAAAACATACGGTCACTCCACTTTATAATATATCCTGTGAAGCGCTTTGAGATGACTCAATGATGTGATAAGGTGCTATATCAAATGCAAGGATGATTATTATTATTATTGCTAACCAGATTCACGCCTATAATCAACGTGAATTTCTTAGGTCACGGAAATATTGATTTTTTTTAAAAAAAAGTTCTTCTCATTGAATTCCTCTCTTTCCTCAATACCCACCACAGAGTTGGGCGTTCCCGGACATGGCTGGAGAGTTATTTGGGGAAGAGTGCGATGTCTCCTCCCCTTCTCTCTCTCTCTCTCCCCTTCCCTACAATAGGCATTTAGCTCCACTCAGTCCTGATCCCTGACAATTGTGCAGTCCTGTAGCTCAGTGGTTAGAGCACTCGCTTTGCAAGTGAGAGACCTGAGTTCAATTCCAGGCAGGTCAGGGTGAAACCTTGGGCAAGTTTCCTTACGCCACACACCTAATAATAATCCCTCCAAAACCAAAAAACAATAATAAATTGGTCACTCAATCCATGACTGTTTGTGGGACGCTGCTGTGCGCAATTGGCTGCCGCATTTCGCCCACAAAATATACAGTCAATTCACTTTACAGTATATTCTGTGAAGCGCTTTGGGACGTCTCAAAGCCATGAAAAGCGCTATGTCAAATGCAAGGATTATTATTACTATTATTATTGTATGGGCCAAACTATGTAATTGAGTTTTTATTACTATTCTCTCATTGATTATTTATCGATTATTATTGTTTCTTTATAGATAGTTTTTTTTTTGCAATGTGAACCAGGAAAATAGGTTTAAAAAAAAGATTTCACGGGTACGCAGGGTGGAGACTTGCCGTGATTGTTTAAATTTAACTCAAATGTATTTTCCTTTTCTTTCTCGTTTAAATAAAAACTTTTACAGTTCCCAAAATGTTGCTGCAAGTGGCTGATCCAAGTCTTTCTGGCCGCAAGCCCTCACCGGTTCAAAATGATGATGGTAGGTTGTAAATCTGTACCAGCTTTCAGCGTAGCTCGGTGACTGATCCCAGCTACTGAACGTGTGGTCGGACTATTTTATCAGCCTAGACTTTGAATGCGAGTTCAAAGTCCTGCTGTGGGGCTTGAACCCACGAGCTTCTAACTCGAAGGCGAGAGCTTAGCAACTAAGCCAGGTTTTCATAGAGGTGCGGTCTTGTAGCATGGTGGTCAGAGCACTCGCCTCGCAAGCGAGAGGACCTGGGTTTTATTCTCGGGCAGGGCGAAGCCTCAGACAAGTTTCCTTACTTCACACGCCTCTGTTTATATCAAATGCAAGAATTATTATTATTTTAATTACCAAAGCTTTACCGCAACGATATACTTAACTTGTTTTAAAGGATTTAAAGTCATTTGATGGTCCTAATAATGCCATTGTGCGCGAATGGTCTGAGTCCAGTAGTGTAATGGGTTAACATGCTCACCTCGCAAGCTGGAGGACCCGGATACAAGATCCCGAACTCCACACACCTCTGTTTACCAAGCAGTAAGTAGGAACCCGGTTGTTAGTCAATCGGCGGATGGCTTTTCCAGGGGTAATAATCTCTTCCAAAACACATATTAATTTGGTCATTCAATCCAGCATTGTTTTGTAGTCGTCCCCCTCCCTCGCCTCCTTCGAGTCCCATCTCCTCTTCAACTGTGCTTTCGATCTGTGCTTCAATTCTGTCTAAGATCTGATCTTAAAGCTGAAGGGAATTCGACAGATACGGTACATTGTGAAGTCCTGTGGTGTAGTGGTTAGAGAGCTCATCTCGCAAGCGAGCGGACCTGGTTTCGATTCCTGGGCAGGAAGAAATGTTAGGCAAGTTTCCTTAATCTCTGCTAATCTCTCCAAAATAATAATAATAATGTTGTCATTCAATCCACAACTGTTTGTGGGACACTGCTGTGCGCAATTGTCACTGTATCAAACGCAAGGATTATTATTATTATAAAAAAGGAACTCAAACCATCTCCATCTCAGTACCATACCTCAGAATCCAATGTCAATGGTGTTGGTGAATTCAAACTATTGTGTAACAGGTTGGAAGTTAATGTCATGTACTTGCTCACAACCTCTATGGACTTTACTTGGACCTCGTAGAGGCAACAGTAACAACAACAACTTGCATTTCTATAGCGCCCTTCACGTGGGGTAGCGTCACAGAGCACTTCACAGTGGCGGAGTCCAACAACATGGCATAGAGGTGTAGAAATGAAATGAGATTTTAAAATGGGATCCAAAACCTAAACCGGGTACAGTCATTTAGGATGCTCTGAGACAGTACAACAAGAGGACATAGGCTTAGAGTTGTACAGGGCAATTTCAGGACTGACACCAGGAAGTCTTTCTTCATTCGGGGGACAATTAACGACTGGAACAGATTGCCAAGGAAGGGTGGTCGAGGTCAGGACACATTTCAAAAATAATGATAATCCTTGCATTTGATACTGTGCTTTATCATGCTGTTGAGAGATCTCAAAGCGCTTCACAGAATATAGTAATGAAGTGGATTGACTGTGTATTTCGTAGGCAAAATGCGGCAGCCAATGTGCACAGCAATGTCCCACAAACAGGTGTAGATTGAGCAAACCACATTTTTTTTTTTGAGGGATTATTGAAACTAACAGACGGATTCTGCTCGGTAAACAGAGGCATGTGGAGTAAGGAAACTTGCCCAACGTTTCGCCCGGTCTGGGAATCGAAACCAGGTTCTCTCGCATGCGAGGCGAGTGCTCCAACCACTGAGCTACAGGACTCCACATGCCCAATAGCACGCCCAGATCATTTTCTCACAACAGGCCTAAGTTCAATGCCTGTGGCATCATTTGACATGAAAATCAATTGCTCTTAATTTATTCTTTTTTTTAAAAAAGAAGGCCTGTTGTAGTTGAGCACTGCAGGCAGTTGCTGGGAAGTATAATTGGAGCAGTATAATTATTCTCGAGCGTGCATTGGTATCTAATGAAGGTATTTGTGGCTTGATAATGTGGTAATGTATGAGAGCTTTCTTCAGTGGGTGGTTAACTAAATAGAAGTTACGTAACTGGAAGCTTTATTACTATCTGCTCAGATGATACTGCCCCAACGCACACTTTGGGGTCCCCCCCAAGCATTGGCTCTTGCAAACCTCCGCCTAATACTTTCCGGAATTGGGTCAGGGAGAGAGAGAGAGAGAGAGAGCGCATTCCATTTCAACAGTTTATCTCTGAGATTTCCATGTGTAGGTGAGGTGGGATGCATGGAATTCTCAGCTTGGTTTGGAGACTCTTAAGCACGGTGATGGGTTTCCGCACGTGTCAGACACCCAGCTGAACCCCAAAAAAATTATCATCCAATTGCATAACTGCAGATAAGCCCATTAAATCAACAATAACTTTATATAATGTCCTTCACGTAGCAACATAAGAACAGGAGGAGGCCATTCAGCCCCCTGAGCCTGTTCTGTCATTCTATTAGATCATGGCTGATCTGTATCTCAAATCCAAACACCCGCCTTTGCCCCATATCCCTTGATATCCTGACCTAACAAACATCTATCCACTTCAATCTTGAACATTTGAATGGATCCAGAACCACAGCCTTTTTGAGGAGAGATTTCCAGATTTCCACTACAGTTTGCGTGAAAAATTGCTTCCTGATTTCGCTCCTAAATGGCCTGGCTCTAAATTTGAGATGATGCCCCCGCTTGTTCTGGATTCCCCCACCAGAGGAATTAGTTCACATCTATGAAGATAATGTTTTTGAGTGCTTCGCAACGATGGGAGTTGGACACCAAGAATGGTGAATGGGGTGGGGGAGGAGGAGAACGTGACCATATGCACAGATGAAGAGATATATTTTAAGGCAGGACTTAAAGTGATAGGGAGGGTAGAGACAGAGAGTACCAGAGGGATGGACACCAAATATGGGGACGGTCACAAAATAGGAGGGGAAGGGAGGAATAAAATAATCCTTGCATTTCATACAGCGCCTTATCACATCTTCGAGGCATCTCAAAGCGCTTCACAGAATATACTGTAAAGTGAACTGACTGTATATTTTGTGGGCAAAACGTGGCAGCCAATTGCACACAGTAGCGTCCCACAAACAGCCATGGATTGAGTGACCAAAATTCCTATTTATTTATGTATTTGTTTATTTATTTTTATTTTTTATTTGAAGGGATTATTACCCCCAGAAAGCGATCCGCCAGTCGACTAACAATCGGGTTCCTATTTACTGCTGGGCAAACAGAGATGTGTGGAGAAAGAAAACTTGCCTAAGGTTTCGCCCTGACCTGCCCGGGAATCGAACCTGGATCACTTTCATCGCTGCTGCAAATATCGCTGCTGATAATTAAATCAATTTTTTTTAAAAAAGCTAATAGATAATTATTTTCGGAGATAATTATCACATCAAAGCTGTTATGAAACCTCACATTTTTCGGGTCTGTGTGTTAAAGATTGACACACACACGCATATATATATTATATAGCGATTAAAAAATTATTTAGCCATAAGTGGCTATGAACGGTGAGCGGGCAACAGCATTAGAAGACAAATTCTACAAGCACCAGCAGTGGAAACACACAGAACAGTTTAGGAAAAGAGCATATAATTGGGATTAGACCAGTTACCACCTATGTTGTGCATAGGCCATAGATTGAGCAACCAAATCTTTTTTTGAGGGTTTATTACATGCCCCCAGAAAGCGATCAGCCGATCGAAATTAACAACTGGGGGTTTCTACTTACTGCTGGGTAAACAGAGGCGTGTGTGAGGAGTAAGAAAACTTGCCCAATGTTTCGCCCTGCCCGGGAATCAAACCCCGGTCCTCTCGTTTGCGAGGCAAGTGCTCCAACCACTGATCTGCATGACTACACATGCCAAATAGCACGCCCAGATCATTTTTCCACAACAGGGCTAAGTTCAATGCCTGTGGCATCATTTGACATGAAAATCAATTGCTCTCATTTGTTTTTTTTTTAGTTGAGCACTGCCGTGAAATGGCTTATTTCCTTGCTGTATATTATGCCCGCTGAATCACATCATCTAATTAAAGATAATAATAATACTCCTAGTATTTGATATAGCATCTTATCACGTCATCACAGATGTCTCAAAGCGCTTCACGGGAGGGCGAAATGTGACAGCCAATTGCGCACAGCAGTATACCACAAACAGTCGTGGATTCACTGACCAAATTATTATTGTTTTTTTGGAAGGAATTATTAGCCCCGGAAAAGCGATCCGCCAATCGACTAACTACTTACTGCTAGGTAAACAGAGGCGAGTGGTGTAAGGAAACTTGCCCAACCTTTCACCCTGCCCGGAAATCGAATGCAGGACCTCTCGCTTGTGAGGCGAGTGCACTAACCATTGTGCGTATAAGATCCCATGGCACTGCTCGAAAAGAGAAGGGAGTTTCTTCCAATGTCCTGGCCAACAATGCCTTGGATAAAGTGAGTCATGGCGGTTTGGGGGAATATCGCTGTGTGCAAATAACCCTGCCATGTTCGCCTGCCAAAAACAGTCGCACCATTTTACAGTATATCTATTCTGTGAAGCGCTTTGAGACATCCCCTGCTATGAATGGTGCTACACCAAATGCAAGGAGATTGCTGCTGCTGGTATCCATAAAGGCTAATTGATTGTTTCTCTTTCTATCCATCGATAGCCCACATCCCCTCACAGGCTCAAAAATTCCGGTTTTCAATGAAAGAAGGAGAGGTTTTCATCACTTCCTTGGCCACGTTTGCTTACATCCAAAGTACGTATTTTATACCTTGGCAGATTTGGATTGAGAGCGAGTTATTAACCACATTTAATAATGGCTTCAAGAACAAATTAGATAGATTTCTGCGAGAAAATTATATCTCAGGATACGGCATATAGTTTGGGACACGAGATGTCAGTCAAGCGACTGCCAGGATGGTGGAAGACAAACTAGATGGACCTCGGTCTTCCATCGCCAGCAAATTCTTATGCTCTTAGATTAACAGCTTGACCTTAATGTCCAAGGGTGGTGTAGGGAGGGAGGAGATTGTCCCCGTTTCTTGTCAGGTAGAAAGACACAGAGTGCTGGAGCATATTGGTCAGCCTGCTCACCTCGCAAGCGAGTGGACCCAGGCTCGATTCCCAGGCAGGTAAAACTCTAGGTAGGTTTCCTTGCTCCATACGCTGTTTACCAGGAACCCATTTGTTAGTCGATTGGCGGATCGTTAACCGATCACTAAAAATCGCTCAACAAAAAAAATCAAGATAAATAATATGGTCACTCAACCCACGACTGTTAGCAGGCCACGGCTGTGTGTACCCACAAGTACAGTCAATTCACTTTACAGTATATTCTGTGAAGCACTTTGAAACGTCTCAATGACCTGATAAGGCATTGCATCCGATGCAAGAATTATTATATTATTTTAACTTAAATTGATGTTTCTTTTATTGGTTATCAGTAATAATAAGCCTTACATTTAGTTTAGCACCTTTCACGTTGGGAGGACAGTCCAAATCACTTCACAGGATATACTGTAAAGTGCAGTGACTGTGTTTTGTGGGTGAACATTAGCAGTTTAAGTTGCTTAATAGTGGTCAGTGTTGGGTATCAGGATAGTGTCTTATTTTGTCTTGTTGCAGGACACCTTGAAATGGCGGGTCTGCTGTTCATGTCCAGTGTGTGTATTGGCCTCATCCTCACGTTGTGTGTGTTGGTGATTCGAGTGCCCTGCAGATCTGACCTGCAGAAACTGTGGAACCACAGCCACCACAGGAGGACAATAGACGGCTACGAGGATGATGATGATGACGACGATGATAGCACAGAAGCTGAGGACAGCGGAGATGGTGGCAGAGGCGGGGATGAGGAAAAATCCTCCGACTTTTCTTTTGAAGCGTTAACAAACCTCTACGGAACGGCAGAACCCAGCAGCGCAGAAGCAGTGGAAATAGCCGAGAGGATAGAACGACGAGACAGGATAATCCAAGAGATCTGGATGAACGGAGGTTTGGAACTGCCGACTATGAGGACTCTTAACCAGTATTACTGACAGACCGAGGCTATCAAGCACCTTGTGTGTCGATACATTGGCAATTTTGCTGCGTTACTAAATAGCTTTTATTATAACATCAAAAGTTTTATTTTTGTTTGTACCAATCCCTACTTTGTTGTATGTTCCTTCCATGAAGGAGAGTGTGTTGGATTTATGTTAAAACGTGTTTAAAGTGAAATGACGACTGGCTATCATGTTTTTAATAGGGTGAAAATGTTACACCCCAAAACTCAGCTTCAGGGAAAAATACTGTGAGCACATGTGAACACGTTTGTGGAGTCCTGTAGCGTATTGGATAAAGCACTCACCTCGCAAATGAGAGGACCCGGGTTCGATTCCCAGGCAGGGTGAAACCTTAGGCAAGTTTCCTTGTTCCACACACCTCTTCCTACAGTAAGTAGGAACCCGATTGTTTGTCAGTTGGCTGATCGCTTTTCCAGGGGTAATAATCCCTTAAAATAAATATAAAAATAATAATTTGGTCATCAATCCACGACTGTTTGTGGGACACTGCTGTGCGCAATTGTTTGCCGCCTTTCGCCCACAAAGTATACGGTAAATTCACTTTACAGTATATTCTGAGAAGCGCTTTGAGACGTCTCGAAGATGTGATAAGGCTCAAATCAAATGCAACGATTATTATTATTTAAAGCAAAGGTCACTTCAGCCAAAGCAAATGTGCAACTCATTAAAAATCGATGCGTTAGTTTCTGCTTGTCGGTTGAGTTAAGTTAAGTTGAGTTAATCTTGCGGTATGCATTGGTATCAGAATGATAAAGCATTAATGCCCAAGCTTAGTAAATTTTATAGGCATAATACCTTGTATTTGATATAGCGGAGGATGTCTCAAAGCTCTTCGCATAGGTTTACTGTAAAATGCAGTGACTGTATTTTGTGGATGAATGCGGTAGCCAGTTTGCACACCGCACAGTCCCACAAACAGCCCTGAAGCAAATGACAATTTATATCCTGGAGAGATTGTTGGCCAGGAAACCGGGGAGAGAGAGAGAGAAAAAAACTCCCCTATCTTTTCAGATCGTGCCACGGGACCTTTAACGTCCACATGAACAGGCAGACGGGGTCTCCCTCAGCCATGTCCTGATTGCTATTATTCACGGCAAAAAGGGAATTTGAAAAGAAAAGGGAGTTTCTCTGCCACCGGCCTGGCCCATAACCCTCCAGATCAAATTGGTCGATCACTTCACAGTTGCTTGTGGGACATCGTACCATGCAAAAATTGGCTGCCATGTAAACAGTCACTGCGCTCTACAGTGATCATAGCATCAGACCAAATGCTGGGGTTATATCTTATTGTTATTTGGTGATTTTTCCCACAGTTTCCAATAATTTACAATAATAATAATCCTTGCATTTAATATGGCGCTTTTCACGTCTTCTCGACGTCTCAAAGCGCGTCACAGAATATACTGTAAAGTGAATTGACTATATTTGTGGGCGAAATGTGGCAGCCAATTGCCACACAGCAGTGTCTCACAAACAGTCATGGATTTAGTGACCAAATCATTTATTTATTTAGTTTTAACGGGATTATTACCCTCGGAATACCGATCCGCTAATCGACGAACAACCAGGTAAGCAGACGCGTGTGGAGTAAGGAAACTTTCCTAAGGTTTCTCCTTGGCTGGGAACCGAACCCAGGTCCTCTCGCTTGCACTACAGGACTCCACTCTGTACGCATCAAGTTCCTCCTAAATACGTTGATGCTTTTTGTCTCCAGCAGTGAGTTCCTCATTCTCACCACACTCAGCGTGAACAAGTTCCACCGAAATTCTCTTTTTAGGTCCAGATCAACAGTGTGCTACGAAATGAACTCTTAGGAATTTACCGAGTGGAGTATTGTGACCATATACTTCAGTGATAATGTGTTGATCTCTGAATCGGACTGTTTAGCAATGAAAACAACAATGTGAACCTCATGCTAAACCCTACGGTTGTGTCCCTAACTCAAATCATTAGCGTGTGCACCAAATCATTTTTTTTTTTAAAACACACACAGACTGCAACTCCATAAGTGTGGAATATTAGCATTTTCCAGGAAACCGTGGAACAAACTAAACGATAGCTAGGAGTAGAGGACACCGTAATTGCTTCGTTCTGATTCCGAGCACAAGTAGCTTGGAAGAAACGCGTCAGTTAATCAACAGCGCAACAGCGGCAGGCATTCTTCATGGTTAGAACCATTTTACCGGGTGATATTAACATCGATAATCAATGAGTCCCCGAACAGATCGATTTCAACATCCTCTTACACTTGTCTTAAAATTCCTTCGTGTCCTGGCACCTCCCTACCTCCCCAACCTGCTTACTTTCCAACCCACTGTCCGTTTCCTCTGCTTGACTGGCTCTGGCCTCCTGCTTGTCCCTCGTTCCTGCCAACGGTGGCCGCACTGAATCCACGACTGTTTGTGGGACGCTGCTGTGTGAAATTGGCTGCCGCGTTTTGCCCACAAAATAGAGTTAATCCACTTTACAATATACACTGGGAAGCGCTTTGAGACTTTTCAACAACGTGATAAGGTGCTATACTAAATGCAAAGATTATTATTATATTAACAAGGGTAAACCCGTGCAATTTTTAAAAAAAAAAGTACACAGGGAGCTGGCTGGTAAATTATTGCACTCGGGAGTTTTTTTTGTGGAGTTACTGGATGAACCTTTGTAGTTAGTGGAGATTGGTTGAATTCATCCCTTGGCACTTGCGATAATTGGAGAAAGGGGAAGATTAGAGGAGCAGGAGCACAACATTCCTGAGATGGTGCGCATTCCAAAGAACGCAATTTCGACTGCTTTTTCTGTAATGTTTTGCCCATTTTTTTTCAACAGATCTTCTGTTTGAGTATTTTGCGAGTCTCTACAATTAGCATCACATCTTCCAGTTGACATGTACGTGGAACCAGCAGGAGCTTGCCTTTCATCCTGCTCATGATGCTGCGTTATGCTCTAATCTTTTCTCTAATGTTTTTTTTGCTTCAGCCGGATGTCTGACACATGCGGAAACCCATCAACGCGCTTAAGAGTACCCAACCCAAACAGAGAATTCCATGTCTCCCCTTGCACATGGAAATCCCAGAGATAGACTGTTGGAATGGAATGCGCACTCTCTCTCTCCGGAACGATGCATCTTGGTTTCCTAATTCCGGAAAGTATTAGGCGCAGGTTGGCAAGAGCCAAGGCTTGGGGGCCCCAGAGTGTATGTTGGGATAACTGCTGGAGTCTAACCAGCTAAAACCACATAGCTTGTCATTGAGAGCACTGTCTGGCAAGCTTTCCCACTGATTGTCCAGCTAGGACTACCCATTCGTGCACTGGCTTCCAGGAGCTGAGCGGGATGGATGACTTCCTACCCCCCCGTGACCGGTCTGTCCTTCCGGGTTCTGCCTGGCTCAGGACCCCTTTTGCCTTGTTATGCAAGTGAGGCCTCTGACTGAGATCATGCTTGATCTGCTTCTAATCCCTTTAGGTGCCTCCCGGGGATCCTGACTTCTTTGATCTTGGCATTGGCAAAGGATGCAATATAGCTTCTTAGAAAAGGGAACAGTAACTCATCAGAAGTTGGCATCTTCACACAGAAAATTATTGACCGCCAAGATCAAAATTTGGACCGTTAAATAAGACATCCTTGAACCATCATGTCCAAGATTTTCAGCAAAATCCATTAACCTTTTTCTTCAAGTACATCGGAATTTGGGGACCTAAATTGCACCATTTCTAAACGGAATGAGAAAGGTGAGACAGGCAAAAAAAAACGTTTAACACATAACTCTGGTTAATTTTTAGCATATATTTTGAAAGATTGTTACATATTTGGTGTATATACATTTGGTATATAAACTATACCAAATATAGTTTGGTATATACCAAATGTAGATGAGGGCAAATTTCCTACAGTTAAATGTGAACAAGACTGAGGCCCTCCTGATTGGCTCGCGCCAGCGCCTCTCCAACTCAGGCTCTGGCAGTATCAACCTCCATGGTTGCACACTTCAACTCACCAAGCCAGTCAGGGACCTCGGTGTCTTGTTCGACCCTCAACTGCCTTTTCTTTCCCACATCCAAGCCATGACCTGCTTTGCCTTCCCTCACCTCTGTAACATCGCCCGACTTCGCCACTACCTCACCCCTCAGGCCACTGAAACTCTTGTTCATGCCTTCATCACCTCCAGGCTCGACTATGCCAATACCTTGCTTGTCGGCCTTCCCAACTCCTCCCTCCACAGGCTGCAGATAATCCAGAACTCTGCAGCCCGTGTCCTCTCCCGCACCAAACTCCGTGACCCCATCTCCCCCACTCTCGCCCGACTCCACTGGCTCCCTATCCTTCAGAGGATCCAGTTCAAGATTCTGGTCCTCACCTACAAAGCCCTCCTGGCCTTGCCCCACCCTACCTCTGCAACCTAACCCCCTACCAACCTGCCCGCTCCCTCTGCTCAGCTGACTCCGGCCTCCTCTAAGTCCCCTGACCCACCTGCCCCACCATTGGCGGGATAGCCATCAGCCACTCTGCCTGTGGAATTCCACCTTCCAATCACTCCGTCTCGCCCCCTCCAAGTCCTGCCTCAAAACCATCCTCTTCGACCATGCTATCGGCCATCCCCCTCCCTTCTCCCTCCCCTGAGCCCAGCTCGGGTCTGTAATGCTGTACACTGTCCAGCACCTTGGGAAGTCCTCCCAACATGAAAGCCTCTGTAAATGTAATCTTGTGTGTGTGTATATATATATATATATACACATGCATAATATATATACATATACACACACATATATATTTGATCGATTGGCAGATCGCTTTCCAGAGGGGGTAATAATCTATTCCAAAAGTTAATTAGTTTGGACTGTTTGTGGGACAGTACTGTGCGCAATTGACTGCTGCGCTTCGCTCACAAAATACACAGTCAATCCACTTTACAGGACACTCTGAAGCGCTTTGAGATGCCGCGATGACATGATAAGGCGCTGCATCACATGCAAGGATCATTAATAGTATTAATTAATACTGAAGTCTTCAAACGCACGGGTTCAATGCTGCTCATTGCTGTCCGACGAGAGACGTGCAGATTGTCAGAAGGATAACCTGGTGTGTGTGCAGTCACGCTGGCGACTGTAGCTCAGTGAGATGCTGGCAGGGTGACTCATCTTTGCTAACACAGCTTGCTTAAT